CTTTATATATATATATATATATATATATATATATGTCCTTTTGATGCACTGGTAGTATGGGAAGTCATTCAGCCCACTTTCTCACTACTATTATTTCCTATTGGAACAAACAAATTAGCTATTTAAAATTGTCCAATTTTAAGAGTAAGTGTATAGTTTGTGTGAGAGGAAGAGGGGGGAGGGGGTGAGGTTGAATTGGTTGGCAGGGCTTCCAATTTATTTGAATCCTGAAAACATTGCTTTGGTCACCATGTTCCTGGTAAAATTTATGATCGCGGCCCTTAGAGGTCATGCCACTTGGTTGGATTTCTATCTTACAGCCATGGGCAAGTTGATGGATAATCGGAGATAATTATATTTTAATCAATATAGTAATATAATGTGCGTTACCAAATCTATCTCTTGCAGTTTTGATGCGTGCCTTGCATCTAAATGGTGAAGGATTTTGCGAGTTTGGACAGGATAGTTTTAACCATCAATATTTTTTATATAATTTACTACGAGTTATTACAAAACAAATGCTTATTCGTCATAATTTTGCGACTGTACTTGAATTGTGCGTACAACTAGTATTTTTGTATTGGTCAAAGAAGAACTTTTGGCCTTAAAGTCACATGCGGTGAAATTATGTCTTACTGTTTAGATTCCGATGAACAAATAACCACTCACACTGGATGATATCCGTAATTTTGTCAAATAGATAAAAACTTCCTTGTACAATATTTAAACTATTTAAAGTTGACGTTTTTTGTAATTAACCCACTTCATTCCCTTTATTTCCCTATTATCGCCTCGCAGATGGTTGATGGGTATCACAAGTTGTGTTCTGGGTTCATAAATAAGCTGTATTTATGAGTGGGCTAGTACTTATATCATTTAAGTAGATGCTAGCATGGTTCATTCTCACTTTGAAATTAACAATCAGCATGATAAAGTAGCGTAATCAGTCTAGAACTGTAATGCTGATTTTTGTCCTGATCCGTTGTACGCGTTTGCGAGTTTTTATTATTTTAAACTTTTATTAAGACACGTTCTACAAATCTTTATTTGACAATGATCTCTCTAGGAAGTTTATAACCGATAACTTCAATTTTATCTCGTCTCGGCAACTTGATACTTTTAAGTTATTATGTATTTCCTTGGATCTATAATTCTTTGCTCTACTTTCGCATTTATAATTAATGCATTACTGGGGTCTTTAATGTAGCCCATGCAGTGTGATACTTGGTGAAATAGATTTGTCTTAGCGTAAACACACCAAGTTTGTGCCGCAAAAAAGGTGGATGTTTCACCTACCACAAGTGAAGCCATAATTTAATCAAATACTAAGTGACATTAATGTTTGGTGCTGTAAGCGGCTCTTCAGAATTTTCTGACCTGGGGATTCATGCAACCGAGTCTATTCTTAGAAATATGATATCAAATGGCAGGCGTCTTGATGGTTATCATTAGTCCTTTAGTTGACTTCAGGGTTTACAGAGAGGAGGAGGAACATCAAAGCGACAAAAAGTCGAGAGGGGGGGGGGCAGAAGTGTTTCAAAGTCAAAGGTAGAAAAAGAAGTGAGGTGAGTACTATAGAAGTGGACGACTATGACATACGGTCGGGTCATGGTAGCTTGAAGTGAGAAATAGGACATATAGGGGGGTCATGGTAGTTTGAAGTGAGAAGAAAACTGCCGGTTAATAGACTTTTTTGCCGTATGCGGAGAAGTCAACTACCAGTTAATAGACTTTGCCGTATGAGTATCAGTTAACTGCCAGTTAATAGACTTTTTGCCGTATGAATATAACGAAAGCCGAGTGATAGACTTTTTTGCCGTAAGAAAATACGCTGCCCAGGGTGCACCACGTGGAGGTAAGTCTATCGCACACAAACTTCCGGTTAATAGACTTTTTACCGTATGAGTATACGTTTCCCAGGGTGCACCACGTGGAGGTAAGTCTATCGCACACCCACCAGGGTGCACCACGTGGAGGTAAGTCTATCGCACACCCCTTGTAGGGTGCACCACGTGGAGGTAAGTCTATCGCACACCCCATTCTTAGAAATATACTCTTTGCCTTTTTATTCAACATTCTCCGGCTTGGTACTTTTTAGATAGGTTGGTTAAGCCCAATAATTGTATTTAATTAGGAAGAGTTTCGAACGTTCACTTGATTCATGTCCTCTACAGCTTAGATTTAAGTCTGTTGGTTTTAAAAGGGGCTATTCTTTTAAGGTGAATAGTTCTGGGACCTTTTACTTATCTGGGATTTATCCCATCTTTCTTTTTCAAAGTTAAACTCAACCGCAACCTATTCTATTTGAAGGTTAATATCTTACAATGTTTATGTGGAATAAGACTCCAATTTTATTGGTCATTACTAAATCAAAGTTTCCATTAATGACTCTCAATCAAAAGCTCTTTAGCATTTATTGTACATTGTTTTCTAACCTTCTAGTAGAATGGGATCCGCCTGTTGAACCGGGTTAGAAGATTCAATTTGGTTCTGTTGCGCAATTCCGATTACCCTATAAATGCTAGTGTTGGACATGCATAGCATGGATACATGTTTTAATACTGCTATCGACGAGCATATGCGTGTGTGTATATGTGCTGTTTTTGCTTTCAAATCAATTGCAGTTTGAATAACTGTCATTTAACTTTTAGGCGCCCAGTTTATCTAAACCGGTTAGTTCTGTAAATTGGCGTGTGTTTCTTCACAATTTATTTTGCAGCTGTACAGTTTCTGCTACATTTAACTGTTGCTCATTAGTTTTTTGTCATTATTTTTAACTTTTTTTTGGAGTTTGTCTTTCTTTTATTTTGCGTTCTTTTTTTTTCCTGCCCAGAAGCGATTTTTCCTCTCTTCAAGCACCTTGCCAGCTTGGGATAAATCGCATTTTGTTATCAATAGGGGAAGGGGTGGGGAGCCTTTAAATAATTCATGCTCCTACATTAGGCCACATTTTTTTCTTAGTCATTCTCATGCCGCAGGATTTTTTTTGGCCTCCAATTCTTCCAAAACTACATTTGCCGCTATCCCTCAAACCGTTCCGTAGGCTGAATATTTTAAAGGCGGAGTAAATCAAGCGTTTCAGGGTGTGTTGGTAATAAAATAATCTTTTCAGCCATGATTTTTTTCCCTGAAAACTACAGCATAGCTGTTCTTCAGATGGGCAAACATTTTGCCGTAACTCTTCGCTTCATACCCTCAAATTTAACGGTTCATATCAACTTGAATATGGCCTTTTCTTATACTTACGCAATTGGGTTGAGATTTACCAACACGGTACGTATTAATGAGTCGTTTTTGGTTATGTCAAATCTTGTGCTTACGAGCCCGTGCTATCAAGGTGGTCTTTTTGCGAGACCACGAAAGGAGCTTTGGTCATGTCTCCATTTCGCACATTCTGAATTTATTAAAAGTTTCGTTGTTTGAATTGTTGCTTTAAGTGCTTTATTTTTATTCCTGGGGTGTATTTTTTGTCATTAAACTATTTTCTTAGAAATAGATTCCTTTTCAAATAATAAAATCATTTTTTGCTTTGTGCACTTTTATTGTCTACTGTTTGCAGAATTGTTTTGCCACGATTCCAAACGCGTTTGTTGCTTTAAAATTTTGATATAGTATTATAAAAAAAAAATAATTTTTTTTCAAGTTTTAATCGGGAAATAGTAATTGAAAATTTGCATAAAATGAAGCACTGCGTTGTCCACTTTGTCATTTGAGGCATAAATCACTTTGTAGTATCTAAATGATTTGATCCTCGTGTTTCCAGATGATTTCGTATTCGTGTTGATACTCTTATCAACCAGAGCCGACTTTTTGAATTGGCATACTCGATCAAGATATATTTTTCATAAGAATTATGAAATGGACTGATAGAATGAATAATAATTCCCCCAGGAGTGGGTAGAGCTTCTGGGATCATGGGAACGCGATAATATTTTGAAACTTCCCAGAACTTTCTACCATTCATCCACACCTAACCTAATTGTTGGAATATCCTCAAGGCCAAATTGGCGAATTACTGTTTATTTTCTCTTTGGCTTTGGGAATGATTTCAGTAAATTAAGAATTTGCCTTACTTAAAGCATAGTTTTTGTTTGAATTTTTAGATAGACACGTGAGTTTTATTAAAGGGACTGCTAATGACCTTATGATGAAGTTTATAGGTCAAGTTAATCATTCTGGTAGTTCTCTCGTTACAGTTGTGCATCAACTTAGCCTTAACGGACTAGTACTTGTGTCATTTAAGTAGATTCTAAAGTGTTTCGTTGTCATTTACGACATCTCAAGTAGCTTAATCAGTTTCTTTCGTCATAATTGTGCGAGAATTGTTAATAAAGTTACACATAGTGTTTTCATTCATTTGTTCTATAACCAGAAACGAGGAATCGGATTTGGCATAAATTCCACATAATAACCTAAAACCATTAATCTTTGTTGTTTCGACGGAAATTAATTTATCTATCGTGTGTCTGATTTCTCGTGCTATGGAGGTAAAAAGCATGCCTAGTGCTTTATTTATAAATGCTTATAACTTGAGGTCACCTGACGTCTCCTTGTGTCTGCTACTCAAGATTTAGACACCATATCCTGCTCTTATCCTGGCTGTGTTGTCCTCTGAATTGCATATGTCAAGATGTACATTTGTAGCTTAAGGTTTGTTTGGTTGGATTGTTTATGTTTCATCAAATCTGATGTCAGTTACTTGTAATTTTTTGTGGCTTATTTCTTGTGTTCTTTTTACATTAAAAAAATGCTAACACACACACATCAATAATTATCATAATTTTGTATTTACTTGAAGCATTTGCCTGTCTTCATTAAACTGGGTGACTGAAAAGTTGGTATGTTGTTAAGGGGATCAAAGGGATAATTAACACGCGAGGTTTTACGACCTCCTAAATCTATTTAACCATTTGTCTGCAATTCCTACAATCTTTAGGCACTCTGCTGTATTGATCTTTTTTGTATGCCAGGCCTTCAATTTTTTCCGTATCGATCCCTAATGATCCATTACTAAATTTGTCCACCGGTTACTAATTTCCCCCACTGTAACTGTATCTTCCTAATTTGTCGCTTTCTTGAACATGTGAGGTTTCTAGATTTTTCCGACTATTTTCTGGTGGTTGAGGTATTATCCCACCAGTCTGTTCGAGTATTGGCGGCAGTTATTTAGATTTTCAAAGATTAGTGTATGCGTCTTTTTCCTTCAATTTATTTCCTATCTTTTAATTATCCTCTCTATTTTAGGCCGACTTCACTCCACTAATCTTCGCCTCCTACCATGGAAACACTTCTCTCGTTCGAACTCTTCTCGAAATGGGTGCTGATATCAATGCTGTCGATAGAGTAAGTTATTGTTACTCAGTAAAATACTACTTCTATTCTCTTCGTTCATTCAATTTTAAAATTACAATTTTTAAAAAAACTGCTTGTATTGCTTAAAAATATGCTAGTTTGTGACTGTTATTTACGATTTGAATGCGCAATCGTTGGTGGAATTTTTAATTTAATCGTGGAATTTTCAAGCTACTGCCGTCCTCCTCCCCCCTTCCCCAATCAAATTCCCCCCCCCCCCTCTCTCTCTCTCTCGTGATTCCCTTTTCTACTTGTTTGGATTTAAAATTTTCTGCTTAATTGGTGCGCGCTTTTCCTTTTAAATGGTGAATTTGAGAGAAGGGCCTTAATGGATGTTTTACTATTACCCATAATGGAATTTATTCCATTTCTATCCTACATATTAATTTGCTTTTAGTGCTCCAGGTTGCACACTTTTGTTTTCACTTTCGGATGGCTTTTGTGTGTGTGTTCAATATTTGTCATCCTTTGCGCATATAAGTACCTTTGCATTTGCATTCGTCTTAAAGCACTTGAACAAAGAGCTGTGGTGAATGCTTATTGTTGAGTGTAGAGGAGGGGGGCCTCGTTGAAGTTTATGCAAGTTGGTACTTAAGCTGCTTACCTATTTTAAATCCATTGACATATCTCCTTTTTACGTTGTGGGTGATAACTTACCTCGTTATGCTCTTATTCGTATTCTCTTAGTGAGCTCAGGTCTGTCATATTTAGATCTTTTTGGTTGGAATGTAAAATTGGCTTGCATTTTTCATATCATCTGGATTCGAGTGAAAATAGTTTACGTGCGGATCTAATTTACATAGAAATTGGTCGTCCTCGCTTATTGTCCCTCTTATCGATCCTAATTAGTATAATATTTATTTATTTATTTCAAATGGTAGGCGTTTTGATAGTCATCATTAGCTCTTTAGCTGACTTCGGGCTTCACAGAGAAGAGGTGGGACAACAAGGTGACAAAAAGTCGAGAGGGCGGACAGAAGAGAGATTCAAAGATGTAAAAGAGACAGACAGACAGACACAAAGGTAGAAAAACGGTGAGGTAAGTACTGTGGAAGTAGTCGCATATGGCATACAGTGGGGTGATGGTAGTTTGAAGTCTGAAGTCAACTGCCAGTTAATAGACTTTTTTTGCCGTATGGGTATACGTTGCCCAGGCTGCACCACGTGGAGGTAAGTTTATTGCACACCCCATTAGTATAATATATTCAGCATAAAATCTCTCTTTTTTTTCACAATTCTCTCGTCGGAGTAAGTTTGCATTAAGGGGTGGGGAGTCGTTGGTGAATGGAGAAAACGAGCCTACCTAGCAGTCCTCCAAACTGAATAAAAACCCTAATCCTCATTGAGGTGGAGTTTGGGAATGAGACGAAAGCATTAGCAGAATATTTCACTCGATGAAAACAAAGGTGGGGGCGGGGGGAGTAATGAGTTAGCCGGTCCCGTGAATCTCCTTGGGGGGTTAATTTGACAGGTCAGGTGTTAATTAACGGTGACAATAAGTGAACTGCTTAAATATTGGAGGATTAGTCATGACGAGCATTTTGCAAAGAGGAATTATCTAAAGGATGGAAGAAGGAAGTCAATTCAATCTCCTATAAATTTGCAAATGAATGCAAAAATTGTTTTATTTGGATCGTCAATTTAGAGTCACTGACAGCGGCATTGATGTTGTTATTTTAGAAGTCCCCAAAGCGCTGTAATCTATTCGAAACTCGTGAGCATCAAAGAGATAGTTCCCATCAAATTCATGCACTTGTGTACTTTGCTAGCTTTGGTCTGAATTCTAGTTTGTTCATTTACGAGACGTCAAATTCGAATTGTTTACACGAAAACCCTCCTGAAATTCAATAGTTTTTAACTGTCACTAACGTTTTGTCAGCATTGCCTCCACTCGGGTGTTCGGTGTATAAACATTTTAAAATTCTGCTATTTGAATATAGGAAAAAACATTGATGGTTTTTTGTCGTATTTACTTACGGCATCGCTACGTGCAAAAAATGTATTCGGATGAAGTTAATTTGTGGAGTTGTTCCACCAAATATCTAGTTGTTGCGTTGCAGTAGTTTCATAATTTTACCAAAACTTAAGGCGTTTTGTGATGAGAGGGGCGGGGCGGGGGGGGGGGGGGGGGGGGGGGGGGGGGGATCATGTGGTGGGAAACGCGCATTCCATTCTCACAATTTGTGCCAGAAATATTCTTGCATCCACTTCATTCTTGCTGTGGCCTTTGACTTGATTCTCCATTGCTTTGTTCGTTGCGTGGCATTTTCGTGCTTTGGAAGATGATTGTCTCATTTGATTGCGCATGCTGGCATCCCGGCAGTTTACTCTCTCTCTCTATTCCCATAATGCAATCTTGTTCAGGGTTTAAAGTGCATATTTCCTACTTTCTGTCTACTCTTTTGCTTCCTCTCTGTCATTTTAGACTCCGTGGATCACGATTGATCTACTTGTTTATTCACGCAAACACCTATGTCTTTAGCATTGCTGATTCATTCATTGGACTTCTCGTCGATAATTCTTATTTATTAATAATTTACTTTCCTTTTTGTTTAAATAAACAGAGGAATAGGAGAAACCTGAACTGCCTAAGACCTTTTATTTAATCTTCGGGCTATTCCTTTTCGTTCATTCCTCCCACCCTAAAAGAACTAGCAGCGAAATATTATGATCGTCTTCCAAAGGCCAATTAGGTAATTTGGGATGTGTAATTCCAGGGAATCTCTTTACCCTCCCCACCCCACCCCCTCTGATGCTAATATTGGAGCTTAATATGTTACTTGTCGGAACTTACGCTTCTTCTAGTTAATTGACTACTTATTGCTTCACTTTGCAGACTTAAAGCTACTTTGAAATTGATCCGCATCGACAGTGAACGTCATTTCACATTTTCCACATTGAGACATTCCTTCACTTCTATTCTGATCTTTTCGATTGCACGTACATTTCTATTGGTCGAATGGTACGATCTCTAGTGTAGTTTTCTAGTAGTCGGAAGCCGTTTATTTATACACGTACGCATTGGACCAATCGTTTCTGAAGTCTTCTGAGATGTCCGAAATAATAGTCTGGCTTGTATTTGCGTTGTGCCAATAGACTTTCGAGATTCCATGAAGGCAGTAACACTTTGTCTCCGCTAGGTCCTTTTGCATTAGGAAGTTAAGCTACTTACGGCAAGTTTTGTTGTGCCAGTTAAATTGAAAATCCTTGCTACCTTATCATATAGGACATCAGTGAAACTCCAACAGCTCAATCTTGATTTGGGTTTTTTAATAAGTTCTTTTTTTAAATTTTGTTCTAATTTTATGTATGTATTTCTTGAAAGCTAAAAATTTCTTCTATAAATAAACTTTATTATGGTAGTAAAGCAAAATACGCAAATGTGTTACTGCTTTATGAGTGGGTCCTGTAAGGTCTTGAAATTTTATGCGGTCACCGCGTGACCGCTTCTTCTACGCAAATTGTGCTAATTGGATGGTATTCGGTGCTGAAATTGACCTGATTTCACACGTCAATCGAGTTTAGACTTCCCTATGTGTTCTATTTTACGCATGTTAAGCTTCCAATGATTTGAAATAAGGTACCTATTTTAAACCTTGAAAAACTTTTTTTCATTCGCAGGAATGGAAATAGTAGCAAGTTGTATGTCTATTGTGTCTAAATGGCATTGTATTTAATGCACTGGTTTAGATTGTACTATTTAGACAAGAGAATGTAATTTCTTGCAGATGTTAATTTTATCTCTCTGCACGCACTGTCCACCACTTTCAAGCCTCCCAATAACAATAATGTCCACTTGTGTGATCTTTCAATCATACTCATCTTCTGTAGGACTAGGGCTTTCGTGAAATGGGCAGTTGAGATGATTGGTCTTCGTTTTGTTAATGAAAATGTATTGTTTTCTCCTCTTTTAAGCAAATTCCCTTACTCTCCGAAACGCCATGCTTAATTGTTATTCAATTTTATTACGTGCGACTTTACTTTAATCAGTTATTTTGTTGGAATTTGCATGGCATTGCCAGGTTCAGGTGAGGTATATATGCGATACTCATTAGAAATGGAATAAATGGTTAGCTTGATTAATAGTCGTTCATAGTTTTCGCGATCATTTTAAGCACTAAATGCTCTTATGTTTCATCCACACCTACGTTTTGGTATTGTACCAATTGCATGATTGCAAGAAAGAGAGTTGGCGTCATTGCACAATATTCATTTTTCGTTTTTTATTCGTGGCCCCTTAACCATTTCCTTCCGTAATAAAAAGTTAAGTAAAGCTCAGCCAAACTGAGATACTAGCTTGGCTTTATTCCTTGCAGTTCTCTTCTCCTCCTATTTTAACGCGTGAACAGGTGAAACACGTAGTATGTTGGTGTTTTTTTAAGTGTTTGGACTGCATGTCAATTGCAACCCAGGGTCCAGCTATTTTTTTTTGTTATATCAAAACAATCACGAATCCCTAATTTTGCATTTTTTGCTTGACTTCTTTAAAGCAGCTGTTTGCCTGCAACCCAGTGAATTCCAGATAGTCGTATGGTGCGGGAAATTTACCGCACTTCCTGTGGAAGACAGACCTCAGTTGTGCTTAAAACTCTTTTAAGTCTCAAACGTAAGCTTATTTCACATTTTAACGTCTACTTGGAACTCCAATGTGTTTCCTAATTTAGTGTATTAAAACCGCCCCTTTACTTATGAAAACCATTTGTGCCTATTGAATTAACTCCCGAATTCTATGATTCTGTGAATTGAAATGTTGTGACTATTCTTTGAGCACCTTTGCCTAAGCTAAGCATGGGAATTGCACTACCCAATAGTGTAGCATTAACCGATCACTGATAGACAGGGTGTTTGGAATAAATAAATTATTGGTAATTGCATCATTTCGTAGACAAGGAAAGTATGCAATATTGATATGGAGTTGTGCTCAAAGCAACTGATTGAAGCAGCTGATTTTACACCTTCGCTGGGATCTTCTTGGGCTGGCTTCACTTACGAGTTTTAGTGCTACTCTGAATCGAACATCTGAATAGTTTATGCCCCGCTTTCCAGTGCTCTATCGTCTTGTTTAACATCGTCAAGTTGACTTTTCGACGATTTCGGTTGTCTCCCGTGGAATTGTGCCATAATAATAATCTTTCTAGTCATTATTTTTTAATGATTTTATATTTTTTGTTTTACTTCTTTACAGAACGGTTGGACGGCTCTGCATTGGGCTGCTCAACAGAATCGAGTTGAGGTCACCTGCATTCTCCTCCGCAATGGCGCCAATCGACGAACCAAAGATTGCGTAAGTATTACATCGCTATCTTTTCGTGGCATTTATCTCTTGGAATTCATCTTTTCCAACCCGTTTGCATGTGTGTGTGTATGTGTTTATTATTACTTTCACTTTGCTGTAGCTGTGGGCTGACAGCCGCGCACCATCCATGCAAGACGCGGCCTTTGTGTCTAAGTTATGGAGGAAAGATACAGAATCTGTTATTCACGGAATCCAGTTTTTTCAGTACAGGTACTGCTTCTTTAAGAAGAAGAAGAAGAAGAATATGATGATGACGATGACGAAGAGATAAAAATGGCTTTCTTCACTCTCTCAATGTGCTACTGAATTTAAGTTATTTTAAATTTCACCAGTTTTAGTTGATATGAAAAGGAAAGGCTGTCTCTCCATGAATTTGTCCATTAATGCAGTGGAATGGAAAGATGGGTTGGATGTAGCTATGAGGCGGAATAGAATTGGCTCGTCCAGATTCGATTCTCCTCGATCCTGTTTAGGGATCTGGACTCAGCTTAATATAAACTCATCGAAGCACACCGTGGTCATTGTGGCTTTGACGCTTTGGAAGAAGGTCGAAACACTACTACAGTTTTAAGGTCTCCACTTCATTAGGCTTCCGTATTTGCAGGATTGTAACCGCTGTACTAAGTGAATGAATGCAAGAACAGTAACAAGGTGTCAATTGATGTTCAATTCCCTTGTTTTGTCAGTCCATTGGCAGGGCCTGCTGTTCATGACACATGCAATTTGATTGAAAATATTAAAATAACACGAGAATGTATTGTTAAGACTGATTTTTACTAAATTAATGTCAGACTAAACAATCAATCAGCATTATTAGCTATTTGGCTGCCTCAAAAATCCTGTTTATTTGCGCCTATTTGGCTCTAGGTTTTCTCTAATTTGAATGAAGCTATTCCATCGAAGAAAGATCAGAGAGAAGTAGTCTAGTTTCTGTGACCGTGTGGCTACTTAACTATTTTTGGAACTGCTTCAGAAAATGCAGAGGTCAAGTCCTCTCTTCAAAGTGAAGTTAAGCCAAAAGCGGATATTGACATGTAAAATAATCATTTCCAACTGTTTACACTCATTTCCTTCTCGTTAGTGCCCATCGCTAATAAAAATTTATTTACATCAAACGACAGGCGTTTTGATAGTTATCATTAGCCCTTCAGCTGACTTCGAGCTCCACAGAGAGGAGTAGGGACATTAAAGTAACAGAAAGTCGACGGGTGGGGAACAGAGGAGTGATTCACAGATGTAAATGAGTCAGACAGACACAAAGGCAGAGAAAAGTTAAGATGAGTACTGCGGAAGGGGTCGAATATGGCATACAGTGGGTTGATGGTAGTTTGAAGTCAGAAGTCAACTGCCAATTAATAGACTTGTGTGCCTTATGAGTATACGCTGGCCAGGATGAACCACGTGGAGGTAAGTCTATCGCACACCCCCTGATGAAA